TGCTTAGGGTCAAGCGCAAAAAACACTATCACATCTTCACATACAAAAAATATCTTTAAAATTTTAATTTGGTGCAAATACATTCCTCTGACAAATTTAAATCTCAAGTTGACTAAATTTCCCTTATTGAACCATTTTATAAAATATATAAAAATAAATAATTTTGTAAAATGACCGAAAATGACATTAGTGGAGAACGCCCATCACATGCAAAAAACACCCATGAAGTTTCAAGTTGATACAAATAGGTCCCTCTGACAAATTTAAACCCTAAGTTGATTAAACTACCCTTATTGAACCATTTAATAAAATACATAAAAATATATAATTTTGTAAAATGACCGAAAATGACATCGGGCTTTGGAAATAGACCAACAAAGATAAAAATAGAAAATAAAAATAAAAGTATAAAAAAAGGAAAGATAAAAATAGAAAATAAAAAACACAAATAAAATGCAAACTAAAAAAACAAATCTACTCCAAACTTCGAAAACCATTGCATATTGATATATATATATATTTAACAGTGTTGGTACGAAAAATAAAAAATAAAAAATAATAGAATTAAATTGAAATATCAAAAAAATTCAAATCCTTGTCCTACAAATTCTCAAAGTTAAAAAAAAAAAAAGGGTTTAGAGATATATATATATAGAAAAAAGTTTTTTTAAAAAAAAACATATAAAAGTAATGTGCTCATAACACCCATATATTATGAGATTAGTAGCATATATACTTTTTTGGACATTTTCAAAAGAATAAAAGGGCAAACTAAGTATTATAACACTAATTTATGTCAGTTTTTGATTGAGGAGTATTTTTGTAAAATATGAAAAAATTAGAAATATTTTTTACATAATTTTTTAAATAAAAAATAAAAGTGATACGCAAAATATACTTTAAAATATTTTCGGCCCTAGTCCCGTTTGCTTACTCAAAATCGTTTTTGGATGAAAGTGAATTGTCCCACATTTGAAAAATAAGGAAAAGTGTGTGACTTAAGTGGCTCTACCACCTTGACATTGGGGTTTAGGCCCCAAGATACAATGCAATTTTGTGGACGGAGAGATTAACCCCAAGTTAGGTCTAGCCCATACGAAATCCAGATGGAATACACGTGTTAATTTCATCAATTTCAACCAATTGGCAATGGGGGTACTTTTCGTCTATAATAGGGACATTATGGGAACTTTCTTCAACTTTAAAGTTCGTCTTGATAAAGGGCATTATGGGAAGTTTGTTCAATTTTAATGCGTTCTACGTTGGCTAAGAAATTTATTATTATAGTTTCACTAGTGTTATTAAGGAGCCAAATGAGCCACTTCTCAATGTTGAAGCATTATATTATTTATTACATAACCAATCCAATGACTTTTTCATTCTTTCATGAGAATGAATAAATCAACTGCATCTCATATTTGAAACTTTTATTTAGCATCATCTAGGGGAAAAAAATGACAAGTATTTATTACATATCTTTTTTACAATAATAAAATTTGTAATATCTATTGTGTGTGTAAAATCACACATATATATAAATAATTTTATTTACCGAATGTAAATTCATTTTTAATCACATACACCACATATGCATTTTAGATAAAATAAGTTAAAAGAAATTTTATTAGTAAAATTATAAATGTTCTTTGCTCGATTTATTTTTTAGTAACCAAACTTACATTTTGCTTTTTTTCCACCTTTTCCTTAAGTAATCAAGACAAAATATTAATTTTTACTTAATTGTGTGTGGGAAATGTAGGATGCTCGTGTGGAGAAAAATTTTATTGCGTCATTTGTATTGGTGACATGGTATCACTAACTGATTAAATACTGATACGTAATGATATGACTAATTAAAATAAATTAATTTTTTTTTAAAAAAGATAATGATGGTACGAATGACAATTGGACTCCTGCTATCTTAGTTTCTTTTTATTTTTGCAAAATCTCAATTGAAAAATTCCATTCAAATATAACATATATTGCTTTAGAGACCGGAAGAGCACTAGATTGAGCATATGTGAGGGTGACAATATGCAGATTGAGCATATAAACCAATTCAATTTTCTATCTTCAGTTCTCAATTTTGCAACGCAAACCAATTCAATTTTCTCTATGTAAGCTACATTGTATAGCAGTTCTTTATTTGGAGTTACCAAAGAAAACATATATAGAGCACATATTTTTTCTTCTTAACAATTTATCAAAGTAATTAAGCAAAATTTGATCTAAAATGGAGTAAGTGTCACTGATAGTGATAGTAAGTGTACGTTATGAGAGTACAAGAACATAGTATATTTAGTTACTCGAAATTACTTTAGGTGAATGAGAAATTAGATACAAGATAGATATATTTGATCACGACTTAAAGTCATAAAAATAGGCTGTCCCACATTGAAAGAATAAGAAAAATTGCGTGCCTTAATATTTAGCTCCCAACAAAGTCTAATTGAACGCGCTCATCTTGACGCGCCCGCGTCCAACTTCATCACCCAAAAGAAGAAAAAATGACGATGAAAAAAAAAGTAAGCCAACCAGAACTTAGTAAAGATGCATAGCATCGCCAGAAGAAGACAAAATGAGCATAGCATCGGTGATTAAAAAAAAAGTCACATAGTTTGGGCTCCGTCATTTTGACTTGCTCTTCATCTCTCTCTCCAGCGTCGTATAAAAAAGCTCAATTCTATCCCCCTTCATTTGATATCTGAAAAGCGTCATATATAAGCCCAAGTTTTCTGAGCCCTCTCCCTTCATTTGATATCTGAAAAATGGTCTCCGGGCAGAGATTTCGGAGGAGAGACAGAGTTGTGTGGGTGACACGGAAGCTTCACAGCAGAAGGTTTATATTCTCTCCACCATTTCATTTTTTTTCTTTTTCTTTTACCTTTTTATATTTTGAACTAATTTATTTTTCAATGTGATAAATTCACGTGCAGGGATCAACAAGGGATCAAATTATCCTCACCATGCCATGCCATCTTCAAGTATCTTATTTCAACGCTAATTGCGCTGCTTGCTGTGCAATCTCAAGGCAAAACAATGAACCCATTTGATACACACACGTTGAACGTTTGGGTTTTTTTCACATCTATATGCATCTATTGCACGGTCTTGGGATTTATGAAAGAAATGCAATATTACGAGTGGGTAAGAGCGAAAGGGTACTCTAAAATCTTGGGCCATGTCATTCTTGCTTCGGGTACACTTTCTGTAGTGTCACTTGTAACTGTTTTTCTCCCGCTTTGGATTGGGTTGCTCTTTGTTATCATTTGGGCAATTTTGATGTCTCATCGCCTCATAGCTCATACTTGCCAAGTGATCTGGGAAAAGATCATGAAGGGAGTTTCTTATACGGTGGACATATACTTCCAGATCATTGCCAGCAAATCGATCGAAAAACATCGTCCACCAGTTTAATTCTCCTTTGATATTGGAGGACCAAGTTCGCAGCATATGTTTTTTTAGTAATTTTATGTTACTCGTATTCTATTTTGTAACACTTTGTTTGTGTACTTTTAGATAGGAAAAAAAAAATAATATGTTGCTCATAGGGATCCGTATAGGAAAAAAAAAATAGTATGTTGTTCATAGGGATCTATATGGTGCACATTTTGTTTTTCTGTTTTTGTTTTAATTTAAAATAAAATAGTGTTTTGTTGTAAAGTGTTTTGAATAGGAATGGAAAATATGCTGCTGGCAAAGTCCATTTGTTGTAAAAAATTTAGAAGCAAAAATATGAAAATATGTTTTGTGAAAAAGTTTTACAAGTTTGAAAAGTATAATGGTTAGTTTTGAAATGTAATTTAAGAGTTTTTCAAAAAAAAAAAATTATTTATTTTTTATACAATATCAATTGCTAACATGTAAAAACACTTATTTGGTATTTTGATTTTTTGCCACTATTCACGAAATATTTTGGTACGGTGTAAAAATAAACAATTCTCAAAAAATTATTTTTAGAAAATTATAAAAAACAATTTTATGAAAAAGATCTTTTTATTTCGATGAAATACAAAAATACTAAAAACAAAACGCATAGCATACCAAACATGCCCCTGACTTTTGTTTGATTTGGATATAATAAAACACCTAAAAGCAGTAAAAATTACTATCCAGAGACTGGCCTACACAATACAATTTTATAGTTACAACCAAGAAAAAGCATAAAAATAATAACTCTTAAAAGCAGTAAGAGCAGCCAAATATCAACAAAAGTGACTGGCCATATTAGCAATCAAATAGCCAAAAGAACTTGATTCAAGCAATCCATGGATAATTCAGAAGTAAAACAACAACCAACTAAACCACCAAATAATTTGTACAAACATTGGCCTATCACCACGGGCCCAAATGAATCATCAAAGTGGATCTAGTGTTTCATGAGGAAAAGCCCAAATAGACTGGTTTGACCACCAGAAGGATGAGATAGGGATGCACACGGTTCCGGTTGCCGGAACCGGAACCGTTCACGACGGTTCCTTTAAAACGGAACCGGAACCGGAACCGGAACCGGAACCGGAACCGTATAATTTGAAACCGAGCCGGAACCGAACCGTAGACAACTATTTTCTTCACAGGCTTGGTGGGTGTAGATCGGAGATGGTGTGTGGGTGTAGAATGTAGATCGGAGAAGCTGTGTGACCGTGTCGCACTTTTTTGTCATTGATTGACGAGAAGATGAGAGTATGAGATGGTGTGTGGGTCACTGGGTGTAGATAGGATCATCGGAGAAGCCGAGTGACTCGAGTGAGGAATGAAGATGAGGAAGCTTTGAGATGGGGGAGGGCGATGACGAAGCCTTGAGATGGGGGAGGGCGATGATGAAATTTTATCGCTCTGTACAAGGCAAAAGCCTAACCAAGAACCAGGAGATATTATTTCTAAAGTTCCACCACTTCCAAACAGTTTGTTAAAAGGTTTGGGCTCTATTAAAAGGAGAACCCTAAGCCGTTATCAAAATTTTAGGAAAACTTATCAAAAAATACAATTCAATAACCCAATTTGGGTCACATAATCAGGAATTCCTCTTTCTTTTTAAATAAGGATGTTTGATTTCACTGTTTTCTTTAACTATACTTACTTTTCACATATTTAAATTCATAATATCTCATGGATCTAAATAATGAAATATTATTCACATTTCCATGGTTGGATTAGCCCTACAAGCTTGCAGTCAAGCAGTCAATAATTTGCTCTACAAGAATACTTGCCTTAACCCAGTACCGATCCTTCCAACAGATGCTGCTATCATCCTGTGAATATACACCAAAAATTTAAAAGCATGGGTTCATAAACTATTTAACAGGGTAGGCTGCCAAAGTTATCTATATTCTTAGCCTGTCTAATTGCTAATTAAACTACTAAATCAAGATATAATTTAAGCTACCAAGAAAGTTATACCCTCAGCAATAAATGAGTATACACCTTTTTATTCCTTTCTTTAACACGCCTAAATTAGTGGTTGGAGGAGGAAAAACTCCTGAAATTCAGAAGTCCAACCAACTATAGAATGAATAATGACTTGTAAAATTTCAAATGCTAGTTTAAAAGATGATAAGTCTTAAAAACTGTAGAATCCTTCATCACTAGGCAATTGCATATTCCTAAGGTACAAGATTCAATGGTAGTTAATTTACGCTTGTTTGGTGTTCGGGAAAAGACATCTAGGAAATTAATTTATATGAAATGCTCACTTGATACTAGTCATCTATTTGATAAAACCGACTTTAGGACCACATTTTGAAGCAAATATGCTGGATATATTAATCTTTTCCATCTCATGCAATGCAACTACATCAATAACATAGAAGACGAATTAATAATCCGCAATGGATGCAGCCTAATCCAACAGCATGAACTCACTTCGTATTATTATGATGCTGTGATGAAGCCTCAAGGAGAAAAAGGTATCAAGAAAGAAGGAACCGCTGAAACCAGTCCCAAAAGCAGATACTCCAATTCCGTAAAGCTCTGCAAATCAAGAATGATCAAGTAAACTGACATTTTAAATAACGTCCAAAATATACGTGACCACACGGCGTGTGTGTGTGTGTGTGAGAGAGAGAGTGAAAGAGAGAATTTGTTTCCCAATAAATATATAAATAAATATGTATATTTGTATTCCAATAAATCAGTATATAGAGAGCACTACTAAAACCCATGAGTAAAAAATATTATCAATCAAAAAAGGAACGCTTTTAGATATGGTTGCAATCTATAACAGTGAAATTCAAAAGTTGACTGAATTAAGGAACCCTCATCAGTATTTACCGAAAAACAGGAAACCCACATCAGTGACTACATTACCATAACCACAAGCCCTTATTCAGTCCTATTTCTATAATATTGATTCTTGAGCCTTAAAAGTGCACAAGAGATAGAGTTCGGAACACTGAATATACAGGAAAGAGAAATGGAGACCATTATTGATCCTTTTTCAAAACCCACCAAAATTTAAAACCAAAAAAATAAAAATTAATTTATTAATTTCCTTGAAGCAAATCCGATAATTCTAAGAGTATTTCTAACAAAGCAATTAGCAATCACTATATTACCACATAAGTTTAATCTGCATTAGCTACAGAATCCAACTTTGGCAGTATACAAGCAAATACAATTACTTATCCGCATTACATCAATAATTCATTTTGTACTAATAGAGCTCAAAGTAAATCACTTTTCAATGAATAACACACATATGCAGATTGTATGTAACAAACCTCGTAGAGCTTGTACGGAACGACAATTCCAAGGCAGAGAGTGAGCCAAAATGGAGTGTAGAGAAGAAAAAATAACTCGCCCCATCTCTTGCTTGGATTGGGAGCAAACCACAGACTCGAACTACAAGAAGCTACTTCGTTACCTGTGAATATATACACATACACATATACATCATTGTATTTTGATCAAGAAATTGCTGAAACTATCGAGAGTGTCAAAGTACAAAACTCTAAGAAAACCCTAATTTGGAGGAAAATGAACTTACCTTCCATTTCGTTAATTGGGATCTAACGCTTTTCTCTCCGATGGACCTCAGACACAACCGAAGTGTGAGCGGAGAAGCCTCAAATGCGTTGACCTTATGAACATTTATTTTAATGTCAAAAATACCCTCTAAAATATATGGAATGACAAATTTTACCTTTAGCACATGACCTTTTTATGTGTTGGCATAGTTGTTAATTTAGGGGCATTGTAAATACATTGAAATTTGTTTTGAAAAGTCTAAATTGAGTGTAGGAAGAAATTTAACTAGTTAAATGTTTGGTTATAATAATTAGGGTAAAATACAGCCCACACTTTATGAGATTTGACAAAAAGAAAGGTAGATGAAAGTTACTCAGATTTTGGACATTTTTTTCATTTTTTCTCTTCTTCTATCACACGGTTCGTTTTAATATCTTTGCAGTCAGTTCTCTTACTAGCTTGGCCGCAACCATTCCAGTCATACCATCAATGGTATCACGTTGTGGGTTGAACTCAACCACATCTGCAGCAACAACATCAGCTTGAAGGTTGTGGAGTATGTTGAGAACATCACGGAAAGAGAGACCTCCTGGCTAAAGATGAGATACACTAGGAGCAAATGGAGGAGCAAGACAGTCTAGATCTAATGATATATATACACCCTTCACACCTTCTCCAAGTTTCTGCCATCGAATATAATAAACAACTGCGAATGAGGACACATCCATGGCTGCCCAATTTTCATATGCACACTTCTACACTATAGCTAATACCACCATCATATGATAAAAAGGACCTGGACAAAGTTTGGAATCTTAAACTGAAACTGGACAATCAGTGAGTATGATCGTTAAAATCTACATAACATTTCGAATTTCTTCCAACATTTGTGCAATTAAAGATTCCCAAATATAAAAAAACTATGAGGGCATTGAAACAAATAGAATGCTAATTACTAATCTAATTTTCCAGCTACTTCCAAAACTTCACAAATTTGAGAAGGATACTGCAAAAAATCAGGTCATTGTAAAGAAGTAATTTTACCACACCTACCCACACCGTTCTCCTGGAGTGGCGCCACTGCATCCCCCAACGACGACTACGACGAGTCGAGCTGGTCGTCCTATCCCTCCGCCACCGGATCATGGTTTGTATTAGTAGAAAGGGGTTGTGAATGGGTTGTGGATGAGACAAAAATGGGGTGTGTACACATATATATGTATCAATCTTTGCAAAATCTGGGTCAGATTCGAAGGATGAAGGCTATATGGGTCGACGGAATCGAAGGATGAAGGCCGTGGATCCATTAACCATTGCTGCCTGTATATATATGTGTGTGTGTGTGTGTGTGTGTATGTGTGTGTACTAGGGATGGCAACGGGGGCGGGTTTGGGTGGGTGTACCCTCCCCCGCCCCCGCCCCCGCCCCCGCAACCGTTTAAAAACCTTACCCCCGTCCCCACCCAAAACCGCAAAATGGGGGAACTTTCTACCCCATTCCTGTAACTGTTTAACATTTTTACCCCTGCGGGTACCTGCCCTGTCTCGTTTAAGATCATAATTTATTTATTGTTGAAATAGATTTGCTCATTTTTTTTTTTTCCCTTCATCTTCAATTCTTCACTATTGCAAATTTTCTTTTAATGAAATTCATTTGTTACTTTAATATTGTTATATAAGGTACTTAATATATAATGGGAAATATAAATATATATATTAATGAAATAAGAGTACCTAAGTAATTTGCTATCTAAACGGGGCGGGGTGGGGCGGGGTGACTTCCTCTGCCCGCACCAAACCCGCGCGAGTTTTTATTACATTGAACCATCCCCGCCCAAATAAGCAAAATGGTCCCCCAAAACCGCTAAAAACGGGGCGAGGTTGGGGTAGGTAACCGCGGGGGCGGGTCAAATTGTCATCCTAATATGTACATATATATGTGTGTGTGCGCGTGTGTGTGTCTGTTGGTGTTGGGGCGGAGGAAAAGAGAAAATAGAGGAGATAAGGTGAGAATAGTGACTTTAATCCGATGATGTTCCATAGCGGCAGGCATCGTCATCACCACCACCATACAAATGGGTTCAAGCACTACCGCCATGACAAAAATAATGAGGCGGCCAGTGGCGGTGACTGTGATACCCTTCGACTCCGAGACATGGGTTGATCAGGCCCAAACCCAAACCCGAGGGAATATCAAATAATTAATATTTAACAAACACGGAATACAAAAAAGAATTAAGAAAGAAATAAATAAATACGCTGAAAATAATTATTAAATATAAAATCCTCCAAAGTTAAAGATTAAAATAATATAACTCTCCAAAACCTCCAAGAGTACAACTCGGGAATCCATCCAGTGGACCCCTAAACAAAATCCCAACTAAAAAGTAATCAATTGAAGATAAAATCCAAATCTAAAACATGGAATGAAATCTTACGTCGTCGGTAGAGTGAATGACCGTCTCTGCTTAGCCCGAACAAGCCCTAAGATTGGAACCGTCCGATACCTGAAAAATATAAGAGTGGGTCAGGCCCACGAACAAGTTATATTCTAACTGCAATCCATACAGTGACCCGATATGCAGATATACTCTAGATATCTCAGCAATATCTATCTAGTCCATACATATATAAATATCCACACTAAGGGACGTTCACTGGACTACAACGGGGGTCTCAACCTGAATAGAAGACAACATACAGAAATCACCTGAGTGGGCATGAGTACCTAAGCCTAACAGGGTACACCTCAACCTATCGTAACCAGCTACGCATCCACTGCATATACGCACCCTAACCATCAACTCTGAGACTCAAGCTCATATCGTGGTACCATAATCATATATTTAAAGTCCGTCCAAAACCAGGGTATGTCAGTCAATCATTTGTTGAACTGACATAAGATTTATAATCCAGTTAGTCACTCAACTTATTCAGTTGATCTGACTTAACCACAAATAACAATTAATCCAGGTAGTTACTCAACTTACTCAGTTGATCTGACTTAAATATAATTAGGAGTCAATATTTTACAATTTATTCCTTTATTCCAATATGGTAGGTCTTAGCGTTTTGAGCTAAACCATCCCCAGTATGCCACCGTCCCATACCGGTGCATACAATCCATAACATTCAGGTAATTGACAGAATTTAATATAATAATTCCGCAATTAAAGTCCAACACAATAATCCATATAATTGACATAACATAGTTTAATAGTTCAGCAATCAATAACCAAAACATTTATCCATGTAATTGAGGAACAAAGTTTATTATATCAGCAATTAGCATCCAGAGTAAGCATACATCAAGTCTGATAAATAAATGACTCTGTTGTGCATCCAAAACAAGATTTATAATCATGCTATAGTCCGTTAAATTGTTAAAACAAACTTAAACAATTTAATCATTTCCATCCGTTAAACAGCATGCAAGGTTGATTACTTTCCTATTGTTCCATCCATTAGCTTAGAGGTATAAACTATGCCATAAGAGGTTTTAATATTACTTGAAACTGGTATTTAGAACCTCCCAATAAAGTCCCAAAACAATTCAGGAAAAACAAACTGTCCAAACCGAGCCAAAAAAATTCCAGAAAGTGATAACATAAGAGAGCCTGCTCTCAAAACTTGAGAGCAGGCTCTAACCATGCATGGAGTCGGCTCCATGCTCCTTGGAGCTGGCTCTAAAGGGGTGGGAGCTGGCTCTACATCTCCTAGAGCCGGCTCTTCACTTGGGGGAGCCGACTCCTTTTTCCATGGAGCCGGCTCTCTCCCTCTCTTAGAGCCCTGCACTGTTTTTCCTTCGTCTGCATCGTCTCCGGCCGTTTCTAACCCTTCTGTTCCTTCTTAATACTGAAACTAAGAGTCTAATTTACATCCAGTATCATTCCAGACCTTTATTTACAACAGTTTGAATTAAAACAACGCTGAAAACAGTTACTGATTCATTATGCTTTAAAAACAGACAATGATCTCCAAACTTACAAGAACAATTCCAGATTAAATTAAACACATACAGGCGATCAATTTAACATATACTAAGCATGCAAGATTTAGTTAATGTCCGATTAAAATCCTAGAGACCATCTAGGTATGCACAGAACACCCGCCAAGGAGAGAAAGAAAGAATAAAACTTGCCTGTGTAGTTTTGAATCAAAACCTTGTCGCCGTCTTCCTAAGTTTTCCGACGATGTCCGTTCACTATTAACTTCCTACTGCTCAACCTTCCCTCCTCCTAGGTCCCTCCTTTAATCCACAGCTGAAACCCCAAACGTAAACTCTCTGCTTTTTCCACACAAGTCTCTGTTCCGTCTCTCTGCCTTCATTGTGCTGTGAATAGGGTTCTAAAACCCTAGGCAGACTTATGACATATATTTATAGGCAAATATAAACCCCAAGTCTAATTAATCGTAGGCTAAAAACCTAATTAAATCTTAGTCGGCTAATACGTGAATAATAAAAGAATAAAACCATAATTTCACATTAAAATTAATAATACTAATTTAATCCAAGTAACTCAATTAAATAAACAAATAAACCATTTAAACAATTAAAACTCAATTAATCCACTTGAAGAAAATAAAAATACAATTAACTAAACAATTCAATTAAATAAAACAATTAATTAATTAATTAAAATAAACTGGCCAATAAACAAATAAACAAATAAAAATGCAATAAAATAATTATTTAAAATGCCGAGACTATCATTTTAAAATTAGGGGTATTACAATGACGGCGGCTGAGGGGTTTTTTGCATAGGGTGTCGGGCGGCGATTATGTAGTGTGTTTGTGTGTGTGTGTGTGTGTGTGTACAGAGAGAAAAGGGAAAAGGTTTGGGTTTGGGTTGGGTTTGGATTTGGGTTTGGGTTTGGGTTTGGATTTGGGTTTGATCCAAGGATATTTAAGTTAATTAAAATATCAATTTTATATCAAAGGGTAATAAAGTCAATTCACCATTGTTAGGGTCTCTTTGTCCATTTTTCAAACTTGAAGGGATGTCATTGTCCAAAAAATAAGTAACTTTCACCTGTGTGTTCTTTTGCCAAACCTCAGGGGATATGGTTGTACTTTATCCTAGTAATTATCATATAAATGTTTATTTTCTTTAATAACATAACAATATACATAGTAAAACTTTTCTTTC